TCACTTAACACCCAGGATTCCACTTGGCGTTGGTTGTGCATACATCTCTCTTCTAACAATGCACCTGGCAACCTACAACTCTCACCTGCAAGTGCTATGCACATTCATCCTGAGAAGAATACACTCAGCAACCTATTCCCACCTAGGACACACACACACACACACACACACACACACACACACCTGCATGGAGCCATAGGCCCACCCATCTCTGAGCAATGAAATCAGTTTCTCACCTTCTTAACAACTGTTCCAGTAGTAAGGTAGGAGTACTGATCAGGCCTAGACTGCTTCTAGATGCACGTACAGTAAAGCAAACTGTATCCTCAGAGTGAACTTTTAAGGAGGAATCTCCTATTTTCCATCTTAAGTCTATGCATGATCTGATTTGCATATGATTAGCATCATTATACATTATGGGAAGGGAGTAAGAGAAATGGTTATATGACTTAAAATCTGTCAGTCAAAAGAGAGGACCACACAAACCATATTTTTAGTAACCAAATCCCCCTCCTGAACCCCATGACAGGAACCCTGAGAGGACAATCGGGGCCCTTGAGTATCTGGTCTCATGTTGTCCATTGTCATTCTTGAAAACATATTTTCTGACCTGTACTATTGCTTTTCTGTGGAGAAAATATCCTTGCTACATCCACAAATCTATACATACTTATTGCAGTGCTTTGAATAAGATTCCAAGAACCTGGAGACACTTGACCCAGATCCTGTCTACTGGTGACAAAAGGACCTGCTACATGCCCAGGGAGATTGTGTCACCAACCTCATGATAAGTTCCTACGGTGTCCCACTAGCAGCAGGACCATCCTGGTCTGCACACATTGTCTGCTCCAACTTTTCCTACCCAGATCTCAGCAAGAAGCAGAGGGAAACACATGGTGGCCACCCCTGCATCAGCGGGGCATGCACCATGCTCAGAGAGCAGTCTGCCTGGCTCTCTACCCTCCCACTGTAAACTACTGAAGCTCTTCACAGACATCCTTCCTGCTCTTTAGTTTTAGAGGCAAAAGAACTTTTCCAAGGAGGCAGGGCAAGCACCCTCTCAGCTCTGTTACCTTGGCCTCTTCAGGCTACACACTGGAAAGTGGAACCAGAGAGGAGCCCTTTGGGGCTGTGGAGTTTATGCATGAGCCTGGATACATTTAGTCTCTGCATGCCATCAAGGCTAGCAAGACGAATCAATTGGGCACCTCGCATTCCAATGAGCAGAGAGAATAGGCTCCCAAGAGGGCTTCTGGACAGGAATGCAAATGCCATGTAAATAGACTCAGCCTGGTCCTTGCTCACCCATGACTCAGCAGAGGCTGGCAGAAATGCCTGGGGCTTTGGAAGATGCAGGATATGCTGTGCTTCCTTTCCTTCTATTGTGAGGTATGGGAGTGAAAGGAAAAAGAAAGGAGGGGGAAAAAATCCTGCCTAAAAATTCACTGAGCCTAAATGCATTCTGAACATGGAGGAGCAGTTACACAGACTCTAAAGGGTGTTCAGAATGGAACTGCTAATTAGAATCCAGAATCTGTGAAATCATACGGCAGGTTCAGACCACTGCTAATGGATCCCAGCATGCCTAGCTGTGAAGTCACATCCCTGTCCTGTCTCTAGAGGCATCAAGTGCCCCTCCCCACTGCCTGCTCTCCCAGTTAACTGCACAGTTCAGAGGCTCACAGTCACCTCAGCTGATGGTTTGGGGTGTTCACAATGCCTGTAACTGAGGAAGCCTGCCAGGATGACAAAGGAACAGCCTATCTGTTTCCTCTGTCCTCAGCTCTGCCAACCCAGCCTTCCTCTCCCACCGGGCAGACTGACACAAACAGGCTGTGCAAGAACTGTTCAGAAGGTTTAGAAGTCCCCACCATATTGCATGTCCCCAGCCCAACCCTCTGTGTATGACACACTGGCACACCACCTGCTTACTCCCACAGGCATGTAGCTTACGATAAGGACATACCCCAGGAAAGATGGACAACCATAGCATCTGGAACTCAAGTCCTCCAGAAAGGTGTCCCATGTGGGTTTACATCGGCACGTTCCCAGCGTAGACTTGGAGTAAACACCATCATCTCCTACCAAGGACCTACACAGTGGGTCCTGGCAGCATGCTTAATGGAATCAAGTGAGACACTGCCCTCCCTGCACTGCTCTTCTGTGTTATTGGTTGTAAGCTTTTTCTTTCAGCCACACTCAGCATTGTGCCTTTGATTGCAAATGAAAACACACAGCAGCCAGAGTTTGGCTAGGGGATTCCTGCAGCCTCTTTGGATGCCTTGATAAATTCTAATTTGAAACAACAGCTTTTGTTTGTTAGGGAGCCCCACAGAGCACTGTGAACTCAGCTTCCTGTCTTGGGCCCATTGTTAAACTCAAATCCAAGTGCTACTTTGCGATCCAAGTGCTACTTCCCGGAGCTTAAAGGCACATTCTGTATGTTGTTCTTGCTCAGTGACACAGGGCACAGCCTGGATCTCAGAGGAAAGCTGGGGGGTAAATAAGTGTTGTGGTGTAGTTGTTATCTAAGGAGGGGCTGATGTCATACCTAACCCAGTACTTCCTGCCCCTAGTGGGATGGTCTTCATTTTAAATGTCCTGGACAGGCTCAAGTGCTTGAACACTTGGTCTACAGCTGGTAGTGCTATGTGGTAGAGTTGTGGAAGTTTTAAGAGGCGGCTCCTGACTGGTATAAGTGGGTCACTGGAGATGAGTCTTGTGGGCCTTAATCCTTGTCCCCTGTCCCCTATCCCCTATCCCCTACTTCTGGCCTGATCTCTCTGTTTCCTGAGCCACTAAAAATATAAGAAGCCACACCACAATCTCCCAATACCATGGGTGGCATCACAAGTTACTGTGCCTCCCCCCATGACAGTTTGGATCATGAGCCATGTTCCACTCAGCTGTCCCAGCAGACATACCCTACCCCCACCCCAGTCTTTGGCTCTATGTCATTGCCTGGCAATAATCACTATCCTATTTCATAAACAACATGTCCCCTAGAAGAAGTCTGTTACCTCCTTCTCCTGCTCCTGGACAACTATGCAGTAATAGAGTACATCCTGGAGCTGGAAGAGGCAGGGCGCTGTACAGAACGGAGTATTTTTAAAAATGTCGAAAGATGGCAGAAAGCATTCAAGGAACAGCCTGCTGAGTTAATAAGCAAGGGCAAAGATGTAAAGTTATCACAAGATATGCTGACTCCATTATTAGCCATACATCTGAATACTTCTAAGTGAGAACAATCTTTGGCTGTTCAAAGCTACTTAAGTATAAACATGGAGATAAAGTAAAATAGAAACTAAGGTTCTAAAAAGTCAGACAGTGAGGAACAAAGACCAAAAATGCTAAATTTCCCACAAACATCTAAAAGTCAGTATATCAAACAGAGAGGAATAGACAAGGGGGTGACTATAGCTACAAAGGGCCACTTGTGACTAATTAGCTGAGGGATTCAGGGTAAGCTAAGAATGCCTTTCCCCATCTGTGTCCCTGTGTAACTTTTTAACTGATACCTTGCTGGGACTTTGAATCACCTGGGAAGGGACCTCAGTTGTGTGTGTGTATGTGGCGGGGGGGGGGGGGGGCTGTCTTGATTGTTAATTGAAATAGGAGGATCTAGCCTACTGTGGGTGGCACCTTTCTCTAGGCTAGACCCAGAGCTGTCCAAGAGAGCAGAATGCTAGCTGAGTAAGCAAGCTAAGACAAGTAAGTAAGCAAGGCAGCATGGGTGCATTTGTTTCTCTTTGCTTTTGACTGTGGATGTGATGTGAGTAGACCAGCCACTTGAGTTCATATCTGGACCTCCCCCAGTGATGGAATTTAATTAGGAAGTAAAAGCTAAATAAACCCTTTCAATTGTAATCCAAATAAAACCTAAGTTGCTTTTGGTCAGGGTGTTTTATTACAGTAACTAGAAATGAAGCTAGGACAGAACCCATTCACACTCTTTTAAAGAGCTCACCAGTGACAAATAGCATGCATACATCACCAGGGATGTGTGTTTCCCATTGAAATTAGGGACTCAGAACCGGCAAACACCAACACCATCACCCACCTCTGACAGGTGCAGAACATTTCCACTGTCACTATAAGTTACATATTTTCCCCATGTGACATGTGTGCCCTTTAAAAGGTTCCTCCCGACATCACAGCTCTCTCTCCTCTCTCTCTCTCTCTCTGCCTTCTGCTCTCTCTCATCCCTACTCCAAGATAACCTTTTTTCTCCTCCCGCCCCAATAAATCTCTTGTGTGAGATCTGTTGTGTGGTGTGGTCTCTTTGTAACATGCCTTGGCCTGGACCCACCAAGATACTTTGCTGCTAAACCCTAACACTCATTCTGTCAATAAATCCTAACACCACTGCATACACAATTGAGCCCCTGTGTCCTCTTGCCATCTGGCTTGGGCAGCTGGCTCTGATGTAGGTGTCTGTAGATGTGGCACTAGGAAACTGAGTTTGGTGTAAGAAATTGTCATTATCAGCACCAAGGATTATGTGAAGCTTAACCATGAGTATGTGTTAGACATCAGAAAGAAGGTACCCATAGTGGTGTTTGTTTTGATACCCCAGTACTTATGACTTGTAAAAGGCCAGACAAAGTACTTCAAAGAAGACCTTGAATATCTTAGTACTGAAGAGGACCTTAAGGAGGCGAGCCAGTAAAATTGCTTTGGTTCTTTCTTATTGTTCCCCCTGTGGTCACACAGTCCCATCTTTGAGCCCACCAAAATCTCCATTTTGCCTTGGTTTTGGCTATGTGCCTATCTGAACTCTGTGGCTAATACTTAGCAGCTGGGTTTAATAATTGAAAATATTGGATTATTTACAGAAACTAGAGGTGAAGTGCTCCATACAGAATTAACTCAGATCCAAGACGTACTGAACCACAAATAACAATGGCATCAATTCACCCCCATAAGCAGGGCCATGGGGAAGTGGTATGCATTTTTAGACTTTCATTTGCAAAGTAACTTCTGAAAAATGGAAAGGATATGAAAGAGAGCTTCATCGCGACTGTGGATAGCCTTGTGAAGTTCATCTTCGAGGTACAGGAGCCTCATGCCTATGGCTTCACATTTTTCTCCAACTTCAGCAGAAACGACATGAGATTCCTGGGTGAAGAATGAGAAAAGGATCATTAGTCAGCTGTGGGATGCTGAGGGCTATGTGCACAGTCAGGACACACAGTCAGCTCTTCTGGTTTCTGCACTTCAGTGCAGGGTTCCCTGCAGGATGTACCCTTTCCTTGGAAGGCTGTTCTTGAGAACACAGGAGCCAAGTTCAAGTTGTAACTGAAGGATAAGCTGTGCACACATAGGTCCTGCCTTACCTGATTTGATTAAAGCCTGACTTTAGCATGGAGGCCCCGCAGATGGATTTATCCAAGGGAGCCTGAGTTTTCCAGCTGAATTCTTAGACAATTCCCAATATGATAGAAATGTCAGCAAAAGGGTCGGAGGTGTCACCAGGGAAACTGGGCTAATATAGAAGGACAGAGGAATATGTCTTTAAGGGCACAGGAGGTGAGCAGGGAACTGAACATTCATCTGCAAACCAGACGCAGCCCCTGAAAACCAGACTCCGAAGGGGAATTATTTATTTATTTACTTGTATTTATGCATTCGCTCTTATATGTGTATGCATATGAGAGTGTGCGTGCTCATGTGTGTATAGATACATATGCATGTGGGAGTATGCACACTCGTGTGTGTCCATGTGTACGGATGTCGGAGGACAAAATTCAGCTGTCGTTCTTCAGGTAGCATCTACCCTATTTTTTGTCTTTTGTTTTGTTGTGTTTTGTTTTGGTTTGGTTTGGTTTGGTTTCTGAGGCAGAGAGGTTGGCCTGGAGATCATTGACTAGGTCAGAGTGTACCCTGGGGAGTCACCTATCTCTCCACTTCCCCAGCTCTGGGATTATAAGCAGGTGCCACCACACTTGACTTTTTATGTGAGTCCACCCCATTAAGGCAGTGACATAGTACTAGGGCCCCACTGGGCATCAGGCATGTGACAAGCATGGTTTAGTGAACAAATAGATGGGTCTTAGCCCCCTCGTCTGTAGTGTTTCCCTTTCAAATGTATGTCCCACACATGAGCAGGTGTCACCTCTGTCACTCTTTCACACAGAAGCACTAAACAATAGAGTCTAAAGGCTGCTGAGGCACCAGTTGGTCTAAGCTGTACTTTAGTTACCCCTCCTGACTCCCCCACAAAGTAGCCTGAGTCACCACCTTTCTCCCCGTTCTTCCTAGGAGAACGTGCTCATTCCCCCTCCTCTAAATCCTTCTCTTCCTTCAGGCCCCACCCAAGCCCATCTTGTGGAGCAACAGTTAGGAAATGAGTTATGTCCCCTAAGAGCTGTGAACTCACACAAGGGCCATTGGCTAGACTTTCATCCTAGGGCCCCATGAGTAACACCTGGTCTATAGAAGGTCATAGATTCTTAAAAATAATCAACAAGGTCAAGAAAATGAGGAAAGTAGGCAACCCTAGAATAAAAAAAGCAAGCAAGAAACAGCTCAGAATTAAATATCAACCACAATATAAAGGTGATAATCTCTTAGCTAAGTGTGAAGACTTAAAAGAATTTTGAGAAGGAACTAAGGATTTTTTGTTGTTTTTTGTTTTTGTTTTTTCTGATTAAATGGCCAGGCTACTACAAAAACTGCAGCTAATATCTAACAATCACATAAAAGTGGTCAGGCCAAGTGGCACTGTTCCAAGTCCTTGGAGATCCTGCATAGTGTATTAGCCAGTATCAGAACCCAGGAATATCAATCAAATCCAGATACTCACCTTAACATTTGCTCCATTTGTTCATTCTGCAACACTTCACAGTTTATGTGTCCAATGACTGACAATTCTTTAATAAAACAGTGCTAATGGAAACTACAAATAACTAATGTAAATACTGGAGAAATCTCACACAATGCTAGCATTTGTATATACAAAAGAAAGGAAATTCCCCAGGCAATGTGGAGGATGCATGGATACCATTAGGGTTTGAGGCTCAAGGGATAGTTTGTGTGACTTTAATCATATCATTGAGGAAAGGATACATGAGAACAATAGATGGCCATGTATTTTATTGATCCTAAAAGTCATGGCATTGTCACGCAGACATGCAAGAGCAAAGGAGGGGACTTACACACAGTGAGGATAGCAGCCATGACTAGCAAACACCCTGATCATGCCCAAAATCAATGAGGAAAAGGAGGGGACATATGCAGAGGAATGATTGACAGTGGCCAGACCACAAGTCACATTTGGAGAAAAAACAAAACAAAACAGTATGAGTACTGACAATAGGAAAAGAAGGAACACAACACTCTGAGTAAATCAAACCAAACAACTCAATCTACACCCAAAAGTGAAAGTCAAATTGAACAAGCTAGAAATACAGCTTTACATTTCAGCCAAGCCATTCTGAAAACATTGTGCAGGCTTGACAGTATGGGTGTGAATTTGAGCAACCTCAGACCACACAGTAAGCCCTCTAGGTTGTCCCTATCCTGTGATTCAGTAATTCCACTTCCTGGAATCTATCAGAGAAACAATTTACATATTTAAATTGGAATTATTTCTATTAAGACTGTAATAAGCATGGGAAAAATCATACGGGTATGTGCACATGCCAAATAGAAATATAAGATTTGAAACCCACAAAGATTAAAGTATTATGAGCCCAGCAAAGTGCCAAAAATAGCCCAGGCATAATGAGAATGGTTAGAGGCAAGTGATGTTTGTGTGTGTGTGTGCGCGCGCGCACACGCGTATGTGAAATACAGATCATTACCAGGTAAAATCCTCCAAAAGACATGCAACAGTGAATCTGACATACTTGATTATAATAAGGCCATGGCCCTTACTTCTGTCAGGCTCTGGGAGAAATGGCTCTTTGGTAAACACTTAGCCTGGCAAGAGATTTACATTATGAGAGGCAGGAGAAAGAAACATGGCCACTGTTTCCCATCCTTCACACCCACCTAGGCACATGTTGGCTGTCTGGAAGAGTATAAGGGTGATGCCCTGCCTCAGTGTGGTGCCCTCCTGTTGCTGAGTGTGCATGCTGCTGCTCAAGTGGAAGAGTGAGGTCTCCTGGGAAGTGTGGAGCCCTCAACACCAGGGCTGGCTTCTCCCTTCTCTAACCGGATCTTACCTAGAGCTGTTCTCTCCTGCTCAGGGGTTTCAGGATCTGCACCTCCTGGGGATGTCCCAACAGAAAGAAAAGGGCTTTACTTGAGAACCACATACCAGTTTCTTCTTTTGCACATTTCTTTTTGTTGTTAAAAATTCATCTATAGTTAAGAATAAGGAAGATAGAAGATATGAAGATGTTTGTCTCCTTCCCTTAAAATAAAGAAAACTTTTTTCTTAGGTTGTCCTTCAAGAAAACCCCGGAAACACTGAAAATCCCATGTTAGCAAAATGAATTATAACATGCATGTATTGGCTGGAGGTCCCACACAGAGATCTAACTGCTGAGGTACAAGCCCCTCTGAAACTATTAAAGTATAGGCATCAATAAACAGCTGACACAGACATAGGTTCTGAGGGCATCCTGGGCTTCCCTATGAGAGCTCTAACTCCCAGGACAGAGTGTGACAGCTGGTAGGGTCTCAGGGACCACCTAGCATCATTCCTTCTTTTCCATGTAAGGAAAATGTCTCAAAGTATCAGATGACCTGGGCACCAAGACTAGTCTCTCCTATTCCACCTCTGGGAAACACAGAGTCTGAGTTCCTGGAGGGCTCAGCTCCTAAGAAGGCAGAAGGCAGGCCACTCCCTCCAGGGCCAGAGCTTACATGAACCAGAAGTGGCAGTATTTATGATGACAGTGTTGAGTCCAGCACCTCTGCTGTATCTGATAGAGGCAAAGAAAACCTGTATGAATGATACCTGATAATTAAAAATTATCACCACACCCCTCTTGCCCCTCTCAGAATTCCTGACTGAGTTGGACTTTCTAGGTATCAGCAGTTCTGAGGATAATTTAGTGTAAGTTGTATCAAAGGCCTTTGAAAACTGCCCTGTAAGCCCTCCTGTAATTTGCCCCTTGAGCAATCTTTTCAGCAATTCAATTTTTTTTTTCTTTTCTGGACACTCTGTCTGTCATTTACCCAGGGGGATAACTGTTTTTCCCTGTGGGTCAGAATGAACAAGTCTGCAGAAGGCAAACAGCCTCATGGCCCAGCTCTTTCCTGGGCCTGGCTCACACCCCCAGTTGGAAGATCTTTGTAATTCCTCTTCAAGGAATGAGTCCCTGAGGAAGCCCCACCCACACAAGCTCTGGTAATCTGTCTGCCTCCACCAGGCTACATACATCTCTGCTGCCCCAGAAGCTGATCCCTGCCTCCCTCAAAGAAGATCCAAGCCCATGCTTAAGCCCTTACCCTGGCCATTGCTAACAGATTTGATTCATCCCTGTAAGGCTAATGTGGGGAGACTTGGTCCCTATTCAGTAGGGCCTGATGGGCCCACTGAGGTCAGACCATCAGGTGCTGCCCTTAGAAGGGGCTGATGCCAGTGTCTGAGACTACTAGGAAGAATGTTTTAAAAGAACAAGCTTGAGACTCTCTGGTTTCAGGTCTTTCATTCTGATTTGTTCTGCATGCCACAATGCCACTTACTGTGAGGTGACAGAGCCACAGGGTCCCTCACCAGGGGCCAAACAATGGGGCTGTCTGACCCTGAACTTTTAGACTCACTGTAATCTAAATATCCCTTTCTTTATAAAGTTCCCAGCCTTAGGCACTTGGTGATGGCAATGGGATATAAGCTAATGTAGAAAGTCTTGAAAAAGTTTTGCTGTATCCTGGACAATGCTCTCAAGATGGTGGGCAGAGCCAGACAAAGAAGCCTTTTCCAAACATCAAATGTCTGCACCTCAATATAGACTATAATAACTTGTCTGGGGTAATCCCTCTGCCCTCTGGGGCAACTTCGAGCCTTGAATGACTAAAACAGCATTTTTATGAACACACACATGTGCACATGCACACACACATGTACTTGTGTGTTGAAAATGAAAGGGGGCAGGTCCTTGTCTCTTACTTAGGGTTAATCCCATGGGGCAGGTCAGGTGCCTGGCTGGTGGCCACCCAGTGGA